AAATCTAGATAATTATAGCACTTAGGCACTTTTTAGCAATCCTACTAGCATCTGACAAGTATGACCCGTCCACCAAACTACCAATTCATATTTCTCAATGAAACTTTGCTCATCACATATTCACTGATAGTCGAATCATATGACATATTAAAAGCGAGTTTAGCTTTTACTCTTGCAGAATGTAGGAAAATGCTAAAAAATGACAGTAAAGGGGCTCTCTAGGTACTCCAGTGTATGGAATCATGGTAATTTCCTAATGATATGTGTCTATGATCGTTATCTACTTGTCTACAAAGTTTCATTACGATATCACCTACCTGAAGTGGTTCGCGCCAATTTTTCTAGCCCATTTATTGATTTGGGCTTTGCCCAATGCCGCGCACCATCACTTATTACGTCGGATCTTGATACAACCAACGTCATTCGATAGAGCATGAAAAGTTACCCTAACCCCCTGTATACTTACCCCCCTTTTATATATATCCCCCTTTAAAGGATATCTCTCCCCTCGATACCCCTGTATACTTACCCCATTTTGGGGGTATACTACCGGCTGACTTCGAAATCTGTATACCCTAGTATACAGATTTCGAAGCGCTCTACAATCCTAACCCCGGTCTTAGAATATCGATATCGCTTCGTTCTCGAGTTATGACCAATTCCATGCATTTTTGCTGTAGAAAAACGAAAATCAAGTTTTCAGGGTAGTTCTCCAGAAATTCAATTTTTTGACATCTGGTTTTTTGTGTCGGGAATGATGGCCCAAGGTGTCAGCTATATTCCAAAGTAGTTTTGAGCATGCTAGCGCTCTGCTATACCTTCCTGGTATGCTTTGAATCGAGGCCCTATTATTGCTAAAATTGAGGGTTCTCATGGTACGAGGCCCGGTTAATCGCAGGGGAACATTGGACAACAGAACTTGCACTAGTATAACATTGAGACACCTCCAGCTATCATATCAACACCGAACGAGTCCAATATTCAATGACAGGCATGGCCTAGAGTCCGTAGAATGACCGCAAAAATTGACCAAATTCCAGTTTCGGTTAGTTTTTCGCTATCTTTCGATTGAAACGCAACACTTTTCGGCGGTGAAACTTCTTCTGCTATCAGATAATCGTTGGCCACTCTTATTTGCAATATAGATTAAGGTTTTTTTTTTGAGAAACCGATGCCTAAAATGCTAGAAAAATACTGTAAAATGCTAAAATTCATAGAATTGGACGGGGAATGTCAGAGGATGTGTGTGTGTAATAGCTACCAAGACGCGTTTCGTCCCTGCTAAAGGACTCATAGGGTGCTAGAAGGTGCCACGACCGGTTTTGGTCTTACTTAAGTATCTCATCATATGGACCCTCACCCTCGTTGTTACTATAAATTTTCAAAGGGTAGTTTTAGTATTGGATTAAAAATGGTTTTCGGCAATAGAAAAGTTTTAAGCAAGATCGAAACCGGTCATGATTGCTGATAACTGAAAAAATTCACCGGAAGAAAATTTCATCCAATTGACTTGAATTATACACGAAAAGAGTCAGTTTTTTACGCTGATTTTGAATCTGTCATTGCTATTGAAAACAGATGAAATTTGAGAAAAAGTGCTTTGGCAGCAGGGTCCCAATTGCTAGATTTTGACGTGAATTTTCTCGATCATGGATGTATACAATTGAGTGATATTTTCGCATTGACTAAGTGCGTATCAACCCCGCTTTTCTTTCTTGACCCCCGTTCCTTTGTACCCAGTTCCACCGGCTTCCCCGGGACAATGCCCCTCTGTGCTGGGAAACAGTTGAAAGTCGAAAAAAATCATGAAAAGGCTGTTGGTGTGAACAGCCGCCAAGGCCGATTTCGTTCTTGCACAAAGGACTCTTCAGTTGGCAAATAACGTTATTGATTATTGAAAAATGAATTCAAAATCACAAGATTAACTTATATCTGACATATGCATAGAATTAAAAAACTCGTGTATATGTTGATAAATTCATTATACAATGATGTTAAACTACCATGATAGCGATATTTCATCTTGACAACAAGAATTTTCAAATGGCACCTGTAGCGATAACTTTCTAAGAGAAATTTTCGAAACAAAGTTGATTCTATACTGGTAGGGTGTGGGTGTGTCAAGCATACCATGATCTAGATTTTGACCTTGTTCAAGTGTTTCATCAGATGGCAATGACTCTGTTATACCTGCTCGAATGATTTCAATTTATACAAAAGAAATCAGAAACAAAGTATATCAATCTAGCAGCCATGACACATGTTTCAACTCCGCTACAAGTCTCGTCAGATGGCAAGTTAATTCTAAATAATTCAAAGCAATGCTTAAATCACTAGAACCATATTTATACTCTTATGTAGAAAATTACTAGAGCACTTTCTAAATCATTGAAAATGTTCATTTAAACACACTTTTGGTCGCAGAAAAGACACGTCGATATGTAAACCAGGTCGAGATTCTTTCTGTTTCATAAGTGTAGCTTAGGCATATGATAATCGAAATAATGGTTTAGTATCTGAATGCAAAAACTACAGATTCCACATTCCATTTCAAAGAGGATAAGCTAAAATATTTCAGCTTTACGACTCATTAACTCATAGTTTAGCTTGAATTTCTATTGGCTAGATTTATCACATTTTAACCCCTTAAAATGGAATTCAGACTAGCAAAATATGAGAATTTAGTTCGTAGACGTTACCAGCAATCTTAGTGAAGCTTGCTTGCATGAAAAAAAAAACTCCTACTTGTTTTTGCACCGAAAATGGCCAAAAAATGCAGACAAAATAAGAAAAATATTGTTGACCGGTCCGGTCGGTTGCAACACTGTTCTTTTTTTTTTATGTAAAATTGGACTATAGAAGAGTTTGCTCAGTGTAAATTCGATTTATTCATAAGGTTAGTATTCGTAACCCTTATTCCTAGAGATGGGTTTCTTTCATTGTTCTTTTTTTTTATAAGAGTTATCATATTGTATGGGTAAACTCTTTCATCTTATGTTCATTTGACTTTTGACTTATAAAGAATATCAACCATAACATAGACGTAAGCTTTATCACAAAGCTTTGGGTTTACTCTGAAGCTATTCTTCAGTGAATACATATTTTCCTTGGTAAGCAAAAGCAAAACTCGAAATCGATAAAGATATCTTTTTCTCAGCGAAATAGCTTATGACAACAATGCTGTTTATCTCACTCTTTCGTTGCATCTAGTTAATGCACAGGGAACTTTCAAATCAAATAATTTTGGGAGCATGAAAGTCTCAGCTAACTAGCTCATACTCTTATATAAGACTCGTCAGAGTCTTAAATTTTGTTCTTGGGTGATTTTATAGTTGATAATCATACATATTCCATGTGAATAATTATACATTATGTACAGTTCTCTTAAGAAATGGTGTTGTAAGTGGAACTTTGATAGAAAAAGGTAGAAACTTCGTCAAGTTGAAGCTTCCTTAAAAAACTTAGGGTCTGAAATGGAAAATATCTCGCAATATTATATCGCCTTTTACATAGCAATTATCTTAGACCTTTTATAAAATACACAACGATTGCTTTAGCTGATAGAACACGTTTATTCTAACTGTATATTGTCATTTAACGTTTACATACATTTATCAGTCACCTTACATTTGTATATATGCGTCTGTGGCAAAAAAAGCAGACCAGATAACAAGTCAAGGACATCGTTAAAAAGTTTAAAAACTGTATTTTCAAGACGATATATTTATGGCAGCTCTTCTTGTGGGAGAAAATGACTCGACCACTCATTAAAAGAAAATTATACTATCTAAATTTATGTCTCTTTTTCTTTATCAAATTCAATTCGAAATGTATCTAGTCGGTTACTCTCATAAAACTCTTTATTAGTTCACATAAGGTAAGAGTGGACAATAAATTTTATTACAGCTTTGTTGAAACGGCTACTAAGCATGAAAATATTTATATCTTTATGACAGCATTCAATTTGTTTTGTTTCCTAAAGATACCTTTTCAGTCATCCACTATTGTTACTAGGGGGTGATGGTGTGTAACATTTTCTCCGCCATGCAATATTATTTAGCTATCAAATATTTAGATTCAATGGTGTATCATATACAATAGACCATCAGTTTTCAATTGAAAGTTATTATTATACAGAATATCATGATCAGAATTGGTATATTTTATGAAAAATATTGTTAAATGAATCACGAAAATTTCTTCTAGCAGATTTAAAATACAGAGTTAGGACGAGTACAAGTATAAGAAGTAGAAGTATTTTACATATACTTCGAAATATATACTTTTACTTTAGCTTGATCCTTTACAAGTATATTCACTTTTGTAATTGTACTTATACTGAAGTATGAATAAAGCGCTTAGTATTTTTTGTTTGAGCTATAGGCGAAATAAGTTTCATCGCTACGGCTAACTGAAAGCTTTCCGAAATTGAAATAGGTACTTACAGGTAAAGAGCTATCCTCATGTTATCAGATACTATGATATTTTCTCCTTCTATACAGAACCAAGCAACAACTATATACACTTAGATATAGGTAAAAATGAAACGAATAATGATTTTGATATCGACATATTTTCAAATAGCCTATATAAGTTTCAAGTATTAAGTTAAGAGACAAGTTAACATTAAGCCATACAAAGACCATTATGAGTAGATCTTTTCTTTGCTAGATACAGAACATGACTCATGTTATGAATGCATCGATTTTATGTACTGATAACCTTTATCTATACTTTCTTATTATAGTAACATATATTATCACATTGTTATGTATCAGCGATCGTAAGAATTCTCGACAGATAGTAACATCACATGTAGTATAGACAACAAAGATGAAATGCATTCTTTTTTAAAGATATTTTCAATAAAACTATGTACTCTCTCACTTGTTCTTCATTGTTTCATATTGATAAAACGAAAGAATTCGCTTTCTTTGTAGAATCTTATCATAAAGTAGTATTCTATTGCATATTATTCTGAATCATATTTCTTCGCGCCTATGAACGCAATCAGTGAGTTTTTCGTCTTTCATCATACCAACGACAAGAAAATTGAGGGTGAATGTAAACTATGTGGAAAAGTATATTTGGATAATACTGGATCAACTGGAAATTTTCATAAACATCTCAAGCGTAAGCATACGAACCAATATGAAAAATCAAAATTTCCGGATTCACTTGTTTGTGAAAATGACACATATACGGAGCCAGAAAACTTAAAAGACAATGTTATCAAAATCAATCAAATTATTCTGAAAGAATTAATTGTGAGATGTAATTTGCCACCAGCAATTGTTGAATATAGTGGCTTTAGGAATTTTTTAAAAACTATTGCACCAAAATGGAAACTTGCATCATCACGATATTTTACTAAAACACTGTTGCCAACATTGATGAGTACTAGTCAAGATAAAATTAGAACTTTACTTGATAGCATTGATCATTTAAGTATTACAGTGGACGTTTGGGTAGACCGACGTGGAAGATCATTTATTGGTGTTACTGGCCATTTTCTTGATTTAAATTTTGCACCATTAGCTTTGCTTCTCGATTTTTCACGTTTAAAAGGGCCACATACTGGAGAAAATATTCGTCTTGTCACAGACGAAATACTCAGAAATCTGAAGGTAAGTAATACGTGTATTAATTCTCAATAGATTGACTCAGAGAACTATCTAGAATGTTAGCAATCTTTCAGAATTTAGTCGAAGTAATCCATATTATCGAGTCGATTCGTATGCAATAGATAATAAGATGAAAAATACATTTCTCTTGTGATAGATCAGAGACAAAGTGTATCGAATTATAACTGATAATGCTGCGTCGATGGTAAAAGCTTATAAATTTGGTTTAACTATGAACGATGATGATAATGATAATACAATTAAAGATGACAACAACCTACAACTAGGTGATTGTTTAGTTAGATTCACTAATGATGATGATTCGAATATATCAAGTGAATGGATCTTGGCTGATTGGTATGTAAATGATAAAGATTCGATTGATAATGGTAAAGATGTTTCTTCAATTCGATTGTCCTGCTTTGCACACAGTCTACAATTGACTATTCGAGATGGACTAAAAGACACTCCATACCTATCGAGATCATTATTAAAATGTATTCAGTTGGCACAACGATCTTCTAAATCAACAAAAATAGCTGATCTTCTTGAAAATATCGGAAAAACCATAAATCGTTCGAATATGACACGATGGAATTCTGAATATCTACTCATAAAATCAATTATTGGATTAGGAAAGAAAACAATTGATGAAATAACAGATATTATCGATGACAATGAACTGAAATTTAGCAACAATGATTTTATCATATTACAGGAGGCAGTTGATATATTAGAACCATTTGCTGAAATCACTTCTCGTATTCAAGCCGATTCAGTTGTGACTGCTAGTCTTGTCGTGCCATCCGTAGTACATATGATTGATCATGTAAATACTATAAAACCACATTTGTCATTTTTGAAAAAGATGTGTATACAACTTGAACAATCTATCAACAAACGATTTGCCGGTATTGTTAAGCGCTTATCCCAACAGTGTGTTACTATGAATGATCCATTTTCTGATCAGATGTATTTTGTTTGCACGGTCTTAGATCCTGAATTCAAATTTTATTGGCTTACTCAAATGAAATACAAGCCGTCAGTGGAATCCCAAATGAAACAATTAATTACTCAGATGATCTTAGATGAATGTGAACATACTATGGATTCATCATTATCATCAACATTCATGGTAAATAATGATAAAGCACAATCAATTGATATATCGATCAAGAAAAAACGAAAACTTTTTCATTACGATGATGAATCAAATTTATCCGTTGATTCAATAGCAAATCCCACATATGAGATCAATGCATATATCAATGATCCAACACGACTTAGATTTTCATCCTACTGGAAAAACTCGTCGTTATGTTCTTTGAAGAATGTAGTGAAACGAATATTTTCTGTACAAGCTTCATCTGCACCCGTTGAACGAGTTTTTAGTCAAGCAGGACTCATCATGTCACCACGACGAACATCCATGCTTGAAGAAGTATTTCGAAGTTTAGTATTTTTACGCGTAAATCAAAACTTCATTCAATAGATAGTTTAAAAGAGTTAAAAGTTGATTTTAATGGATTTTTCTTTACTATTGATTATTTTAACTCTGAAATGCCGTTAGATATTAATGCAATGAAATAAATGTTAAAGAGAATACATACATGCATAAGAATATATAAATGAAAAATATAAGATCCTACTCTCCAAAAATATCAACATGCACCGTATTGCGGTATCCAGGCAAAGCGCAAGCACTAGTTACAAGTCACATAAATGCCCTCGTGTTTTGAACAATTACTAGAACTTCGACAAAACAAGAGACTATTTTATTTTGAAAATAAAGTACAGAAGTCTCTATCTTAAGGTACAAGTGTAAGTACAAGTGCATTTCGTAATTACTTGTACTCATACTTTTTACTTGGAAAAGTAAAAAAAGTCCAAGTATAACTACTTTCGTCTTGCCTCTGTTAACAGGGTGTGAATGGGTGTGGGTGTAGTCTTTGTCTTCTTTGTGTATAACATAAAGAATGGTTTATTCTTTTCGATTTTCACTGCTTACATTGCAGAAGAAAATATATGAGTTATTGTACAGTAATTGAAACATGAAGAAAGTACTGGATTCACAAATTATGTAACCGTAATTTCATAGTGAACTAACTCTAAACAAATCACAATCGTCATACAAGATTTGTGTTTAGAGTAACTTCAACTGGCGGTCTTCAACTTACAAAATCTAAAGAAATATTTTATATGGGAAGGATATTAACATCAACTGGAAAACTCGAAAAAGAACTGCCAATATCGTCCAATTCACTGATCAAACTCAACCATTTCCTTGACTTTTTTTCTTGTTCTTAATCTAATTTTATAGCTAACGTTCTCTGGAATCATTTTTATTGTTCGTTTATTTGTAGATGATTTTCACATTTTGATGCGAATTTCTAATTAAAGAAATAAAGAGAAACTAGGACATTTGAAAATTGGTGTATGCTGTGCAAACGTAATTCCTGTCGCAAAAGGGATGTTTATCTTACTATTTCGATCACACTTATGTATCTTTGCTCACGATATTCAGTACTAAGATGCACTATTCTGCATTCTACGGGTTATCATCTTCCTTAGTTACTCGACGTATATTAAAACTTCGTTTTCATGTCATATGGATATGGTAATATTTAATTGAACGTCTGATACTCCAGAAAAAGGAGGCTACTTGTCCATGAAAATAAGGAATCAGAAAACATGCGTTGTTATCAATACAAAAGTATGCATCTTTCATTGGGTACAATTAATTCAGTCATAATTGTGATTATTATTAAACAATAAAAAGAAAAAGATTTTAATGTAGCAACAAAACGTGATTAGCGAGAACGTTATATTTACTAGTCACGGATTTGACCGATGACATTATCAAATGTAGCATTGTTTATGTCCTGTCGTTCAATAGTAAATTCTGCATTCGATCGGATAGCTTGTGCTTCAGTATTTTGTAATGCGCTCCATACTTGAGATGCGCTGTCGAATGTATAAAGAATGACAATATGATTTCGAACGAAGACTGTTTTCTGAAGTGCTGCTAGATTCGTTTCAATATAAGATTTAATTTGCTCCATAGAATGGTAAAACGTTTTTTCAGACATTGATATTCCGTTTTTTAATCCACGGATTGTTAGTATGCTTGCAACACAGTTATGTGTGTTAGCCATCGTTTGTTTTAAAAATGCTTCTTCTGTTGTTAGAGGGTGTGGCTTATGTGTTCGCGAAAACTGTGGCGGTTGTGCAGCGATGAGTGATCTCTCTGTTATTGATTCCCGTTCGGGTTCAATTGATATGGGCACGTGAGGATATTCTCGTAAGATATCTTCCTTGGCTCGACGGTAGTCTGTCTGTGCGCGTTTTTCAAGGTTGTCAATCTGTCTCAGATTACCAACAAGTTTAAGTACATTCAGAGTACCCTCCAACATATATTCTTGTTTTGTGGCCGGTGAAGAGGAGAAAGTATATGAACGTGAGACAGGCTTGATCTCACATTTTTTCAAGCGCAAATTATAACTGACTGACCAGATCAAACTGTCACTTGTCGAGTCAAAGATACCATTTATTCGACTAGCAACTAAACAATGACTACCCGGAGGAACAGCGTTTACTGTTGGTAATGTCTTGAGACATTCGCGAGCAATTGAACGCCCCACATCATTCGCGACTGTACTAGGTATTATCCTACTAAGTTGCTTATCTACACTTTGAACGATGCGAATAACATCATTCGATTCGTCCAAATCAACGTCCATGCTTTCCTTCTTCTTGTCACGTGTTGAGTTCGATTGATATGGAGGTTTGATCTCTTGAAAATTCGGTGACACATATTCGATCGATTGTATTTCAGCAGTCAAACGAAGATAAGCTGCTGTACTTTCAGGTTCTTCGCGTAAGAGTTGGTAAATCTGTGGATATTCCTTGGAGAGGACATTTGAAATACCTTCACTGTGGAACACGTGCTCCATGGTTTGATTCCAGTTGATAGACATTGTGTAAGAAACGAATTGCAGCGTTGTATCGTATCACCTTTAAGATTTTATATGTGTAGTATGCGAAGAAAAAACCCACATCATCCAAAGTATATTTTATATATTTTTTTACTTCTTAGGAGGGGTAAACTCTCTACTGATACGTTATTTTCTTCGTGACAGAGACTAGATAAAAGACACATTGGATGTGAGTGAAGAAGGAGAACGCTAAAAAATTATAGAAGATCGTTTTTCAATTGCATATAAAAGCGGGCTTTATTTAGAAGCATACTGGTCATAGTTCATTTTTTACTATTTCAGTATGGCATCGTCGAGTGATTTGAAAAATTTGGATGCAATCATCTACAGTTCTGGGATATCAAGACGTTTGAGAGAAAATTTTCCCAAAACGAATGAACTACTTCAATGGAACCTAGAAAAAACTGCTGCCGTACTTTGTGCAAAACAAATTTTTCAATTGCTACAGATGAATAAGGCTCTTCAATGTCCATGCGTGGGTGACGACAATGTGAAAACATGGTCTGACTATAAACAACGAATCATCGACTACTTGTTGACCGTTAAAGATGATAAGCGTTTGAAGCCAGCATATGATGTTTTAGCTGGGTTTATTCATGATCTTCATTACAAAAAGTTTCCCACATGGCCACAAGTAGGTACAACACAAGAAAGTGAAGTTTTCATCGATACTGCAAGTGGGTATCCAATCGATGGGTTCTATATTACTTGGTCCTGTTTGGGTCACATCACAGTTAAAGATTATCGAGCGAGTTCATCAAACTACTACACGGAATTCAATGGTCGTCCAGAAATCAAAGTGTTATATTGCAACGAAGAGAAATTAAGGGAATTCGAGACAATCGCTAGCAGTAATATGGATGAGGCAAAAAGGAAGATTGGTGTAACCAAGCACACAATCGAGTGGGACGACGAGTGGTAGAAATACGAATTATTTGCATGTATTTATAAGATAATTCTGAAATAAATTGAAACGAAAAATAGATCCACTTGCATGCATGTGAGCCAGGTGGGTGTGTAATAGCTACCAAGACGCGTTTCGTCCCTGCTAAAGGACTCATCAGTTGGCTTAATCTATTTAAGTTTCAAATAATAAAATTTAAAAATAAAATAGAAAAATAAAATTCAATGTTATAAAGAAAATTTTAAATAACTAAATAGATAAAATTCAATTTATAATGGAATCTTAAATTTTTTGGCAGTAGTGTCAAAGAAAGAAGCTGGTATGGACTTTTTCGAGCTTGGTTAAGTATCTTATGAGACGGATTATTTTATTAAAATTTCGAAAAATTTGTGAGAAAATTTTGAAACTTAATAGAGAAAGTTGTAATTCATGATTATTAATAGAATTTTAGAGAAATAAATAAACAAAATTAAATTTATGATAAGAATTAAATTTGTTTTCATGGAGAAAGGTTAATTATTATGAATGATTGTTTGACTAGATTTTATAGGTCTTTTATTGAGGTGAATAAAAATTGTGATTTAGTTTTAGATAGGATATTTTGAATTCTCACTTCTGTTTTATTGAACATTCAGAATCAGGTTAAAGGAAATAATGACAAAAGCATTTTGTATAGTCGAGAATGTTTATGAATGTAGATTATGATGATGTTTGTTTCGTATATTGCTATCGTTTTTTTTTGATTTTGCAGGTCTAGTTGATGATACCTATTTTTGAGCGTGTTGGTGTGACTAGCTACCATAATCTATAGATTTCATTGGAACAACCCAAATCATCAGATGGCAAATAATTCTAAAGATTTTAAAGGAAAAAATCAAAAGATTAATTCTAATTCTGACACATAAATAAATAAATAATTATATGTTGAAGAATTCATTGCATAGTAGTGTGACTAGCTACCATAATCTATAGATTTTAAATAAAAGTTTTCAAGAAAATTCGAGATCGACACGACGCGTTTCGTCCTTTCTCAAGGGACTCATCCGGTATCTTCAAATTTCTATTATTATATAAAGAATAAACTCATTCAAATAAAATTCGAAGAAGTTGAAACTTAAACATAATAATAATAAGAAATAATTTTTAAATAAAAGTTTTCAAGAAAAATCGAGATCGACACGACGCGTTTCGTCCTTTCTCAAGGGACTCATCAGGTATCTTCGGTAGCCTATAATTTTTACATGAAGTAAAAACTCATTCAAAATTCAAAATAAAAAGAAATTTGAAGAATTTAAAACTTAAACGTAATAAATAAAAGCAAAATTTCAAATTTAAAGAAATCTTAAACAAAATATAATAATCTAAACAGAACTCTGAATTAAATTCAATAGTCTTGTAGCTATTACTATGCGTTTCAATCTTTCTTAATCAGATTTTGATTAGTAGTTTTTCAAGAAAATTTCAATCAATTCGACATGATGTATATTATTCCACTAAAAGTAAATTTCGAAACATTTATCATTCGAAATGTTTTAGATTAGAGCAATTGTAGGGCAAAGTTTCAGGTTATAAGAATTTGTATTAGTTTTGTCTACAATCTGTTAGTGTATAAATCAAAGACTACGAAAATCAATGAAGAATACTAAGTCATAGAAGAAAAGATATAGAAACACATGATTTCAATAAGAACTGAATATTTGAATAAATTGATCCTTTTCGAAATCGATTTTCGATTACTTCTAGACGATGTCTTAATTTTATGATTCCCTAATGACATATATTCAAGGTTTCCAAATAGAATATTATTGGAGTTTTCTATACAAAATTAGTTTTTGTTTCACCTATGTATACATAAATATGCAAAGAGAGACTTAGTAAATTTATACTTCAAAGTACAACAATACTTATTGATAACATATCATTCATTTCAATATTACTCCTAGTGATATTTAAATTGCATCATCGATAGATTAATTCTTTAAGAGTAGAAGTGTATGTTCTCATTTGATCCATAAAATATATCGAATATTTATCTTATCATCAATAACCATTGTGTTGAGCAATATATTTTCCCTTAATTGTATAATTTTCAGAATAAGATCCCTCAAATGTAGCTCCACTATCAGTTTGTAATATTAAAAAACTCAAATTTCATACTGACAAAGTCTCATTCAACTCTCGTTCATTGAAAAGAAAGAGGCCCTGCTTCTGTATTAATCATGAAAACATTCATGAGATCGATGTTTCTTTCAACCTATCAATACTAGGAATTGAATCCATTAAATGTATTCATTGATGGAAAGCAATACTCGATAACATCATAGAGGAATTTGTACTAGCTTCTCTTAATTACAAATTCGTAATCACTACTAAATGTAATATCAATCAAAACGATATTTAGATTAGAATTCAAAACTCTTAAGGAACCAAATACACAAGTGTTCATATCCATCAAATCAGATATTCAACGTCATCATCTATTTCAACATCTGGCAGAAGTCATATAAACATAATTGAAAAATACCAACAAACATCTGCTCCATGAAAGAAACATTGAAAGTTTCACTATCGCTGATTCATGACAGACAATCCGATATAGACACTAAAATAAATAAAAACCCAATCTTCCTAAACATATCCAAGAGCCTCATAACAGCATTCTGAAGAAGAACAGATTCCTATTCAGAAGCCTCTGGACGAGTAGAACATTGTAGATCTTTCAAATGAGAACAAAACCTCACACATATAACCTCATAATTCCCAGGAGGGTCACGTGGACCATTCCAAAACAGAAACCATGGAGATTTAAGACCTGCAAAAGCATCAATACACCTAAGAAACTATGAACAGCATATAGAAAAAAACCAAAAAAAAAAATTTCATCGTGACACGTGACTGTTACATGACTCATCAGAAAAACCAAACAAAAAACAAGACACACCGTCTCCTCTGAGATAGCTATCAAAACCTCTACGCTTACTAAACCTCCTATTTTATCATCCACTATCCAATGACACTTGAACGAACCGCCTACCTATTGAAATGGCGATAGGTCATCGAGTACTCTCAAAAAAAAAGAAGTCCCGGTAGTATATTCGCTAAAAAAATTTCAACTACTTCTTAAGATATTAAATTCTGGTAGCTGAGTTATTGATTCTTTGAATTTTATATTCT